CTTCAGAAGAAATCTTTTGCTTTGTGTTCAGAGAAAAAAATAGACACAGTTTGATGTTTGTGAGGTTATCCCTTTTGCTGTGTTTTCCCTACTTTAAATCACTCAAACATAAAATGTTATGGCTTCAGGGTGAAAATAGCCACCGCTCTTTRGAACACAGGCCGCATGGGCTCTCATGCAATTCTTCGCGAGCGCCTGAAAGCGTGCATGAAAAAGATTTGATATTCTGCCCTGCCTTCCCTGGTGCCACACTGTGATTTTCTCTCTCCCCGAGGAGCCAAGTAGAAAGGGGTTGGAACGGAGAGGGACCAAATCTCCATCTCTAAATCATCTCTCAGTAGCCCCCTTCGACTAAATAAATAAGCCATTACAGTTCAGAGTGCGGAGCTTCATTTACTCGAGGCGATGTAATCACACGTATCTGCAGGTTGTCCACATCATCTCGAAATACAAGTGCATTTTGGAGATTCCCCGGAGGAGGCACGGTAAAATGTTMRCATAGGAGCAGAGGGAGGTAAAATRAAAATAAAACTGCTGATGGGAGATAGTTTGGCGTCATTTCTGTGTGGGATTATCATCTTACAAAAGCACACAAGAAGGGTTTGTTTGCAGTAATATTAAAGTACTAATGCTAAACTGTGAGGATATCTGGTGTGAGCCATCGACAAAAGCCACAATCATCCGAAAGCCACATTCCACATCTAATACCAATGCCAGATGGTGCGAGATTTGATGAAACAGTAAGACTGAGGATCTGAAGTGCTTCTTTTTTTTCTTTCCTTACCGCCTTAAGAAAACACAAGAAAGAGTGTTTTCTAATAGAACAAAGACGACAGTGTTAAAAAGTTTAAAAGAGTCATTGATTTGAAGGCTTAGTCACATATTTCAGAGAAAAGTGAACTTTTCTGGGTCGTTTCTCAGCAGTGATAATACATGTGGTCTAAAACGAAGTCTTGGAAATGGAAGGTTTTTTTTAAAATCATCATTTTCATAACATTTTAAAGGCAGGTTCAATCGAGCTTTCTTTTTCCAATAATTCTAACAATATTGTGCGTTTTCATCTGCCTGATAATTCTAATAGTTTTGCCATTCAGATGTGTTAGAAAACTTCTTCCACAGCATCCTGCGGAAGGCAACACAGCAGGCGCATGAATGCCGTTTTTTCAGTAAAGCGGATGTTAGGGTTTCCGTTCATTGTTTTGTGCTGGGAACACTATTATCAGTGTTGTTGTTCCTAGTGATTGCATTAGGAAACAGTGCAACAAACAGAAGGCCCTGGTGATGAAARGCAAACTTTTCAAGCAGATGTCTCAGCACTGCTGAGGACACATGAGAAAAGACTGGAAGGTTATAGGGTTATTATTTTTTAAGAGGATATTTTATAGGAGGGCGAAAATGAACTGAAACACTATTATTATTATTATTATTATTATTATTATTATTATTATTATTATTATTWTTATTATTATTATTATGTCATTCATTTCATTTTATTTGGTCAAGGACAGCACAATAAACAATGTTACATGATAAAAACAAGCAACCGTTGCTTTGTACAAGGGTTTTCTAGCCATGGGCTAATTTGCAAACCCAGTCCTTGTTTGGACTTTTAAAATTAAAATAGCTAAACATAAAATAAAAACAGCCCTCTCTCTCTCTCTCTCTCTCTTACTCACTCACCCACCCCACCCCCGCCCCCCACTCTCATTATTATTTGATGCTTAGTCTTTGTTTTTGTCAAGATTGAAAACCATGGGAATTACATGAAAACTTGAGGGGGAAGGCAGTACTTTATACAGTTTACACAAAATTGTCCAAATATGACACAAAAATGTCCCATAGACGACAAAATATTGTTGAAAGGAGTAAAAAAAAACTCATCCCTCTTCGGAGCACAGCAGCTCAGACAGACGTCACAGTGGAAACGGGTCACAGAAAGGAGGATTTTAAACAGTATACTTTATTTTTGAACATTTATGTTTTTATGAATTGCAAACGTTTTATTGCAGAATGCTTGATGGCGTCACAACTTGACTCTTTATCTACTAAAACTTTTTTGAAATTTTTAAAAACTTTTCTTTTTTCTACAAACTTCTTGTGCCATTTTATGCATCAGAAAGTAGACATTTAGTCGTTTTAGATTATAATGAACAATTAATTCCAAATTGCTGTTATTATATCAGCTGGCATCCTTGAAAAGAGTTATTTTCCTAAAAGAGCGAGTTTCTAAGTTGAATCAAGTTGAATTTTAGCATCRTTTAGAAGTAGAATAGAAGCTGTCAGTTTTAAATTGGCCTCATAGGCACAGTTAAGGATCACATCACACACTCATGTTTAGATTTTCCAACGTAAAGATTTACAGGTGACCTCTGTGTTTCACTTTGTTTACTCTGACCTTGATGAGGCTGTAAAATGCACTGGGTGAGCGACTTTGCTCACCGTGGGTTTCCCCCACATCCTTTGATGGGGTGGGGGGGGGTGTTTGGTGGAAGATGAGGGGTGCAACGTGAAGGAAATGAAGTTAGTGAAGTGAGTTTGGTCAAGCGAGCAGGAAGAGACTAAAACCTGCTGAAGCTCTGGATCTGAGGTCGCTGTCAGATTCCTGAAAGACAAAGTGGAAGATGGATTTTTTTAACATAAAAACTCATGGACTGGTATTTATTATATGTGCAACTGGTGTTTTCATTGTTCAGTAAAAAAAATCTGAAAGGTTTAACAAGTTTGAATTATTTATTTTATTTGTATTTACCGCTGTTTAACCAGGCAAATCCCACTGAGATCACAGATGTGTTTTTCAAAGGAGGGCTGGGTTTGAAGGCAACCTATTGAACAGGTATTTGTGTTGTGGGGGAAACCAGAGTACCCGGAGAAAACTCATGCAAGCATGAGGAGAACATACAAACTCTGCACGGAAAGATCCGAACCGGGGATCAAACCCAACAACTTCTTGCTGTGAGGCGTTGGTGCTAACCACTGAGCCATTGTGCTGCCCAACGCTGATGAACTATACTGCCTGGCCAAAGAAAAAGTCTCCACCTAGATTCAGGTCTATGATGTGAGGTTGCTGCAGTTGGTCAGGTCTAGGTTCATCAACAGTATGTGTTTAAAGAATGAGATCAGCTGACTACCTGAATATACTGAATGACCAGGTTTCATCGGGCTCTTTTTGTGAAAGACTGTTTCAGGGAGCATGAGACATCATTTTCACACAGGAATTGGCTCCACAGAATCTTTTGGATGTGCTGGAGAAGGCTTTGCTCAGTGGTCAGACTTCATCATCATCAATGAAAGATCTTGGTGAAAAATGAATGCAACACTGGATGGAAATTCATCTTGTGACCTTGCAGAAGCTTATCTAAACAATGCCACAGTAAAGTAAATATGTGCAGTAATCAAAGCTAAATGCGGTCCAATAAAATAGTAGTGTGTGACCTTTTTTTATTTATTTTTTTGGTGGAGACTATTTTTTTKGGCCAGGCAGTGTACAACCAAGCTCTATCTTGTTCTTTACTTTCCTAACAGAGCTTTTCCCTCACAGATGAAGGTTTACGTGTGGTTCCTAAAGTTTCTAACAGCAAAATGAGAGGCACAGCTTTAAGCKATCGTGCTCCTGTTTTGTGAAACCAATTTCCAGTTTCTAACAGATATTAAGACGTGGCTTAAGACTTTCCTTTTTGATAAATCCGTTAAGCTTGGGTTTCCTGAGCTTTCCTTTAGTTATGCTGCTAAAGACTAAGGCCAGGGGTCTGGAGCCACATGTGGCTCTTTGGTCCCTCTGCAACGTCTCTTTGAAGTTTTGACCAAAACTAACATGAGATAGATTTTTGATGTTGTTGTTGTTGTTGTTGTTGTTGTTGTTTTTTATACCCACAACAAAAATGGCTAGCTTTAGCAGTTTTTCTGTTCATGAGTTCACAAATATGTGTTTGAAACTTCTAATACAAGGAGTGAAACATGTTGATGAGATCGTGTTAGTGTTTGTTGACCACTTTAATAATCCAACTTTTGATCTTATATAGTGTGAGCTTGTTTCTCAAACCCATCAGGATATTTTTTTAGAAAATACCTGTAAGACAAGTTACTGAGAAGAAATACTGGGAATTTATTAGATAACAAAGAAAGGTTTAAAAAAATGAGTTTTTATTAAGTTTTGTATAATCCTAAACTTTTTATTCTAAAGTGTAAAAAAAATAAATATTAAAATTATTTCATATTTTTAGTTGCATAATGTCACACCCACTAGACTGATGTGACCCTCATGGTTCACATTTACCTACAATGACCAAAAATGGTCATGTTTCTTCAATCTGCTGCTTTTTATTTTTATTTTTTTGTACTCTGGTTTATGCTTGCAATTATTTGTGTCATTAATTTGTGTGTTTTTCTCTTGTGATTTATAAACGTCTGGTCCAGTCCTTCTGTTTAGGTCTTATTCCTGACCCATCCTGAGCCTGCTTCTCCTGGTGGTCTCTTAAAGGAAGTTTTTCCTTTCCACTCATCAATGTGCAGCTATAGTGAAAGATCTGCAACGTCCCATTGATTCTTTTTCACTAGTTGGCTTTTTGTAATGTTGATCATATTACACTATAATATTATTTATGATTTGAATCTAAATAGTGCCCTGAGATGATTTGTTGTGGAATCAATTTATTATATAAATGAACTGAATTGAATTGATTGGGTCTGTTTACACTGTAATCAGCATCTACAAAGTTAACGAGTTTTCCTCCTGAGAGAATGTTTTATTCATGACTCTGACTCTGCAGCTCACTTATTTACAATTTGATCCAAACAAATGGCAAAAGCGCACGCTCTTTTCGAGACTTTTCGTTGCACAAATTCGTTATAAATCGGATTTATGACGCTCCTTCTCTCCCCACCTCCTCTTATTTCATGCTTCAGTGGCCAAACTCTGTAGGCAAAGGGGAGGTTTTTCTCCCGCTGCTCATTGGCCGCAGCTTCTCTTTCCCATCTGCACCAACATTTCCATTCATACACACCGGGCTGTGCAGAGGTCCAAAATAACTCACTGTCATCATCATCGTGAGGGTAAAAAAAAAAAAAAATCACTTTTTTTTCTTTTTTCCTGGACGGAACTAATTATTTGCAATTAGAGGAGATCGGAAGGAAGGAGCGCGCGGCTGCCACAGAAGCGACAGGTGAGAGAAAGTAACTTTTTGTAGTGTTGTAGAGCTGTTTGTGCACGCGGGACAAGTCAGCRTTTAGCGTTTTGTTGTCGTTGCACGGATTTTTTTTTAATAAATACATAAAAATCTGTCTACTGCATCTTTAAACGTAAAGCTAAAAAGCAGTTTCGGGATGGGTCCGAATAAAAAAAAAAAAGGAGAAATGAAACTGGAGCCTTTGCGCCAATTTTTCTGCGTTATTGCGTCAGATTCGGGGCATTTCTTCAAAAGTTATCATAGTTTTTTAAATGCAAAATCGAACGTTTTTTTTTTTTTTTGCTTTAACAAAGGGGAGAAATACGTGTGTGTGTGTGTGTGTGTGTGTGTGT